GGGGGGCGCTCTCGGTAGACTCGGGGCGCGCGCTGGGCGCAGAGCGCAGTCTCGGCCGTGCAGCTCTGAGTGCGCCCGCCGCCACAGCCGCCGCCGCCGCCACCATGCCCAACTTCGCCGGCACCTGGAAGATGCGCAGTAGCGAGAACTTCGACGAGCTCCTCAAGGCCCTGGGTAAGCTGGCGCAGACACCCCCTTGGAGATACCCCAGGCCCGCAGGGGGTGGGTTTTGGGGACGTCCCCCCAGCAGGAGAAAGTCCTCGGGGACAGACCCGAGAAGCACCCCACCTAGGAGCGGGAGTGGAACCCGAGCCCGAGCCCACCGCATGTTGGCTGGGTGTTGGGCGCCTTCCCCGACGGCTCCGCCTTTATCTCGTGCATGATCATCGTGAGGAGAGATTATTACTGGGGTCCGAGGAGGGTCACAGACTTTAAATTTGGGGATTCAGTTTGAAACCAGGTCCTGCCACGAATTCACTGTGTTTCCCAGGGAAGGCCACTCATCCTCTCTGAGTTTCTCATCTGGAAAATCAAGGCGAGGGCAGGGGGAGGAGCGGCTCCGTTTTGAGGCCGCTACCTGCAGTCAGAGGGTGTGGGAGGTGCCCTGGCCCTGGGACCCAAGCCCGCGGCGCGCGTGCTTCCCCGCAGGTGTGAACGCCATGCTGCGGAAGGTGGCCGTGGCAGCTGCGTCCAAGCCTCACGTGGAGATCCGCCAGGACGGGGACCAGTTCTACATCAAGACATCCACCACGGTGCGCACCACCGAGATCAACTTCAAGGTCGGAGAAGGCTTTGAGGAGGAGACTGTGGACGGACGCAAGTGCAGGGTGAGCCCAGAACCGGGTATCTCCTCGGTCCCTGCGCCCGGCCGGCGCACCGCGCAGCCCCGCGCACCCGCCCGCGCCCTCTCCCGCCTTGCAGCCTGTGGCGCGCTTTCCTGGCAGGCGTGTGCACCGGCGGTTTGCAGAGATCTGTGAAGCCGGGTGCCCTGGGCTCGGGAGAAAGCCCTGCCCCTCCCCTTCCCACCCCGTCCCTAAGCCGCCTCCCCAGGTGCTAAGAGCTGTGCCGCGTTCCCGCAGGGGCTTTTGCAGCGCTTTTGCACCCGAGTGAGGGTGGAGCGGGAGGTGGCAGGGCTGCCACGTTTTCTGTAGCAGGTAGATCCGCAGCTTTGGCGACCCGCCCCCTCGTCCCTGGGCACCTGGGGACGCTCTGGGTCCAGTTTCAGTAGTCTGGAGGGCCCCTGCACCTCTCCCGCCTTCACTGGTTCCTTAATGGTAATCTTTCCAAAATCAAGGCAGATTCCATCTGGGAATCGACTAAGTGCTCTCTGTCGTTAAGGGCAAGAGTTTTGTATTTCTCTGTATATCAGCCTCGGATGAACACAGGGGTGGGGTGGGGTGGGGTATGCAAGGGGCTGTACACTCCTTTTTTAAATAGGCAAGTTTGTCCCGGGTTTAATACCTGCCAAGAAAGGTACCTCAGTTGCAGGCT